GGCCGCGGTGGGACGGCCCGGCCTGCCCTCAGGACGCGTCCTCGGGTGTCGTGGGGGATCGGGGTCGGCCCTGAATTAAGATGTGATTGCGACCATTGAGTCCGGCTCTGGTCACCGCCGACCACCTCCACAGACTTGATCCTGAAGCCGAGGGCCGGAGACTGTCAGTTATCTCTCGCTACGTGCGGCGTCAGGAGAGGGTCCGTATAAGGAATTCGAGTTTCTGGAATACAGGTGGTTACCTTGGGCCGAGATTTCGTGTATCCAGTTGCCTTCTTTGGATCAAATTATGTCTCACTAGGGATATATAGTGTCATGGTATCAAAATGACTGTTAGAAATAATGCCAGATTTGTGTATTTTCCTGATGTAACGTGAAAACATTAACGTTTCTGTTGCTGGCTCTGCAGGAGCTGTGCAGGGAGTGTCCAGGTGACTCCCGGGTAAATACTTGTCCTCACTGAACACCAGAGGGGTTATTGTAGTCTGATGAACTGTTGTTTAATTTTTACCCTTTCCCAACATACAGAGAGAATCTTTACTATCTTATTGTCTATATTTGTATTATTCTCAGATGTAAACTGAATCTCACTAACTTTGAAGTGAATGTTGTCAAAAAGGATTGCTTAGTTGGATGGGCTAGTTGGATAATTTTTCCATGAATTAAATCACCTGAATGTTTAAATCCTTACAATAACCGTATCTGTTGGATGTTACGAGCCTAAATTTAAATCTGAAAAGTCCCCCAGGCACTGGGCTGTGTATGCACCTCTTCTCATGAACTGTGATCACTTAGGGGAAGGCAGATGCTTCCAACTACTGGGACCTACAGGAACCATGTAAAGGCGGACAGGGGAATTGTTGACTGGTGTGTGCGTGGGTGGGAGATGGTGCCAAACAAGGAAACTAACTCAAGTGAGAGAGATGACTTTTTCTGTTTACATAGCTATCTGGCAAAGAGCAGAACTAGGGTGCAGTCTGTCTTGTAACTCCAAACTCCTATATCAGATAAACACTTTCTGAATGTCTTGCATTTTGTCAGGTCCTACTTTAAGCACTGGAATGTAAAGATGAGCAAGATGTCACGAGTTCCCAGTCTGGTAAGGAGACAAGCAAGGCAGGAAATGGCTGTGACAAACAGGGATTTCAAAGAAGTATCAGTAACCATTTGGCTTATGGATACACTTTGGGATTTAGACCTAGTTCATAAAATGTTAGGGTTGGGAAAGATCATATCCTCCTAATGCATAAATTCCCTCTGCAGCATCCCAGCAAATGGACATGTAGTCTTTGCTCTAACATAATCTAGTGATTTATGGCTCATAATCTTAGAAGGTAGCCCAATAGGCCATAACTCTTACTTTTTGCCCTCCCCCCTTACTTTCTGTTTAAATGTCTAAATTGTATTATTAACCCAGTATGGATAACAATTTTGTATTCTGCATTTTTCATGCTGATATGGTACCTAAATCAGGGGTCCACAAACTTTCAGTAAAGGGCCAATTGATACATATTTTAGGCTTTGTGGGCCCTACAGTCGCGGTCACAGCTTCTTAACTCCGCAGTTGTAGCGGGAAAGCTGTGAGAGACCGTTCCTAAATCTGTGAGTGGGGCTGTGTTCCAATGAAACTTTATCTTCAGAATAAATAGTGGGCCCATGCACAGTAGTTTGCTGAGCCCTGATTTAAATAATTATTTCAATAGAATAATAATATTCCTCAATTCAGATTTTTTTAGTATTACAAGTAATGCTGTAATGCGTGTGAACAGCCACTAACCACCAAGCAGATAGTCTCCCTAAGACTGAAGTCAGAAAAGTGAAAAAGAGAATGACTTGAGTTAAAGATTGTGGGCCTGAAGCTGTGACCTGTGAAAATCACAGGGGTTAAGCAAAAACATTGTAACCTATGGGGCTGGCTACACAGAGGAACAACAAAAACTTGGAGGACTTCAGAGCGGTAGCTGAGAGTGACACTAATGCCTTCAATTCTGGTCACATCTCTCATGAAGCTGAGTCTCATCAAAAGGGGGAAGTTGTTAAAAAGAAAACCACAGGCCCCAAATGGAGTCCCTTATGTTAGGCCGTGCCACCAAACTGGGGTTTCACACCTAACCCACTTGAAGCTTCAGCGTCCCCCGGAAATGTAGTCTTAACCCATCAGTCAGGAATTTTCTGGGCAGCACTAATGAGGTAATCTGTCACATGGCCTCTCCACCCCTCAAAGGAAGATGAGGTAAATTGCCACATAGACAGACCCCCTTGTGTCCCCCCATGAGTAGGTTACCTAAGCCTGAAATAGTCTTTTTTTGTGTATGACTTTTTTGTCTTCCCTTTAAAAACCTTTCCCAAAGTAGCCCTTCTACTCTAGATGGGATGCTGCCTGATTGATGAATTGTTCAGTAAAGCCAGTCAGATCTTTAAAATTTACTTGGTTGAATTTTGTTTAACATATCTAAAACCTTGTTAGATATCTCTCTTCTGAGGATTTGGGGAGGAGGCGTCCTTCTGTTGATTTGGTTTTTACAACATAAAGAGGGCATTGATTGGTGCTATGGGAAGTAATATTTCTTATACTTAATAAATATTAGGTATAAGTTTTATAATTAATTTTTCTTAAATCTTTAAGATCTACTTACATATCTTATTTCAGCTTAAATGTAATAATGTTAGAATTTATAAACTCACATGTATTTAATCCTCACTTAAGTTAATTAATGTTTATTTACATTTTCCTGAATATTGTATACCATTTGCAAACTTGCTTAATTAATGACACAATTACAATTTTAGTATATTTGATTTTCTTAAGTACCTCAGACAGCTGACGTGACACATTTACAAATCTCATAAAGGAAATATAAGTACTTAGATTTTTTATAAACCTAGTAAGTATAAACTTACTGATTTAATCAGATTTCTATTAAGTATTTAAAAGTTGATTATAAACAGTTAAATTTTTATAAGTTTAATATATCAGAATCTCTTACATTTTTCAAAACTTTAAAGGCAGAAAAAATTACACAATGACGATAAAATGTATTACACATACTTTATCATATTAACCTATCACATAAATTTGGTTGAGTTTTAAATCATGGCTATGTGCACTTGTTTTTAGATTGCAGGATCATGTAGACAAAGACTGCAGAGTATCATGGCTGATTTAGACTAGATTACATGATACTGTATTGCTCGATGTGGTATAATGGAATTAATCATAATTTGAATATAGTGAGTCTGTAATTGGATTGTTGACTACATATTATTGGAAATTTATATACACCTTTCCTTTAACATAGCTCATGTTTTTTGACCCTTTTAAATATCATTATGAACTAGTGGCTTTCCAAAGAATTACTTTTTCATTTTTAAGTGTATTTTGTGTTTTTTATTTTTCAGTGTTAAACTGTCCAGCTTGGACAGTGAAAGCTCCTTTAAACTGGCTCCTTTGTTTTATTACCACTATCCTACGCATAATGGAATATGGAATCAGCTGCCTTCCAAGGAGTCTGGGTTTTTTTTTTTTGAGGGGGGAGTTTGTAGTAATTTGTTATACCAGCCATTAGAAGTTAGTGGAGAATAATATTAGAGGTTAAACTCTGAATTCTAGATTACTAGAAACAGATAGTGTGACACTGCTGTGTAAGCCAATATGATAAGAGAAAGAAAAATAAAACTTTATAGTGATATTTTCAATTTAATTCCAATCGCATGAAGTATTAAAATACTTTAAAATCAAGCAGTTGACACATTGTAAACTGATTATCCTTCAATAAAAATACATATATACAAAAAACACAGTGATCTAGATCTGCCCTTATAGATATGAAAAAAATGTTCACGATAGATATTTGAATGAAAAAAAGTCTCTGAAACATCAGATATCATATACCATGTTTGTAAGCCCATAGAAATACTTGTATATACATAGAAAATAAAGTGATTTTACCCAGAAAAAAAGTCTAAATATTACCAGAGTTTATCTCTGAGGGTAAAATTCAAAACTATTTTCCTTTTTCTAATGAATGTGTATTCAAGAAGTTAGTGTTTCAAAACTCCTCGACAAAAAAACTTTAAAATTAGTTTTCCTGTTAGTGATACTTACATGAATTTACAGGTCAACTAGTGATTTAAGATTTGTAACCAAAATAGTGGTCCCCGCACCACACTAGCAGCAACTGCTGCTCTTCTAAGACGAGATGGGGAGCTTTTACTTTTAGTGAGTGTTACCTCCCACTGCTTCCCCAGTAACTGCAGTGACGGAACAGAATAGGACAGAGACAAGTACTGAAATAGGGAAGCTTGTTAATCTTCATTGAACTATTTCTACCAGAATAATGTGTGTTTGGGCTGGCTTAGCTGATCTTATGAGGTGGTTTTTTGGTTTTTGTTTTTTGGTTTTTGTTTTTCGGTTTTTTTGTTTGTTTATTCATTTATTTATTTTTGATGGAGGTACTGGGGATTGAACACAGGACCTTGTGCATGCTAAGCACAGTGCTCTACTACTGAGCTATACCCTCCCCCTTCTGAAATTTTAACACCATCCTTTCTTATTCTAAACTCTTAACTGTACTTAACTTGTAGAAATTGGATTTTCTTTGGAGTTCACCTAGATATCCATGTTTGTTATATGCCTGCCTTCATGATCCATTATTTTCCTGTAAACCAAACCATTACACTTATTTTTCAAATCATTGGTGGAACTTGATATTAGCCCCATTATCATTTCACTGCATTGGGGTTTTTTTTGGTATTTTTTTTCTTCATATTTCTCTTTATATATTAACCAAACTTCTCAACTTGGGAAAATATGCAGTTACTGTATAAAAATGAAAAGTATTTGGAAATCACTCTTCAATCTGATGGTTACACTTTCCTCCTTTTCAGATATATTTTTGTCATCATGGATCGGTTTGGAGATATATCAGAAGGTGAAGTGGATCATTCTTTCTTTGACAGTGACTTTGAAGAAGCAAAGAAATGTGAAAGTAACTCAGTTTTTGAGAAGCAAAGTGATAACCCTAAAGTGAGAATAGATAAAGGTATAGAAAATGTAAACTTGGAATTTGGAGTACAAAGAAGGGAGAATGATCTTACTGAGAAGGGAACTGAAGGAAATGAGAAGATTCCTCCAGAAGAACACCCTGTAGAAAATGATGGTATACAAAGTAGGAATTGTTTGACCACTTCTTCAAGGTCAGAATTCTGTGATGCTACAACAGAACATGAAATACACCTGCCCACTCCGGACAGAATTCCCAAAATCGTAAATGAAGGTGAACGTGATTACTATACTGATGGAGAGGAAAGCAGTGATGATGGGAAAAAGCATCATGTCAGGTCCAAGCCAGGTAAACCGTCTAATCACTTTAAAAAAAGCCTAAGTAAAAAATATTCCAGAAGTAGTTCCTCTTCCTCCTCTTCCTCTTTGTCCTCCTCATCCTCAAGTTCTGGTACAGACTGCTCAGATACCGAGTCTGATCTCTGTATATCTGATTCATCTCCATCATTAAAGAAACGTCTATCTGGTGCAACCCAGTTGTCTCCAAAACAGAAGTATAAGCCTGGAGAAAAATCAACAGGAGCACAGCTTTCAAATACTAAGCCAAAAGTCGGTGACTACACCGAGGAATCTGAAGACACTGTGACGGATGTTACTCCTTTATCAACTCCGGACATCAGCCCTGTTCAGTCTTTTGAACTGGGTGCATCAAACAATCAAAAGGTGAAAGTTAAAAGGCAAGAAAACGTGAGTCAAGAAGTGTATGAAAATGCTGAGGATTTTAAAGGTAATTCAAAATCTTTGAAATCGGCCAAAAAAGGGAAGGAAAAACATGAGCCCGGCCTCACCTCAAAGTCGTCAGTGTTTGATTCCGATTTAGACCACAGATATAAACAAAAAGTCTTGCACGACACAATGGACCTGAATCATCTTTTAAAAGGTAATTTTAAAAACTATATATATATTGAATTTAAATTTTAAATTTAATGTTATATTGACTTAAGTACTAAATGAAGCAGTAACTATTCTGTGCCCTGGTTTCTTCACTTGTAGGATGAGGTAGTTGGTATAGGTAGCTAAGGTCCGTTCTAAATTCAAGGTTCTGTGAGAAATACTAGAAGAAGGGAAGATCAGTGGAGACTAGAATTATTAGACATCTTATTTTACAACAGAAGTTGAAAATTTAATAGAATTTCTGAATATGCAGCCTCTTTTGGCTCAGTAAGGTGGCTGATCTGAGGGACTTCCCACTCCCATCCCAAGCCTGCCTTTGTTATATAGATGTTGACAGGGTGTGGTTGGAATTAGTTCTTTGGCCTTGAGCTGTTTATCCCTGAATAGACAGAAGAGGGCATCAAAAAATGGAGTAATAGTGTAAACCCAAGTTAGGCATTGGGTTATGGCATGAACCGCTAATATTTGGAGAGCAGTCACATTGACTTGAATAGATTTTAGAAGTATGTTTCATGCTTTGTTACGATAAAATTAGGTCAGTTTAGGAAGAATCTGGAGGCCAAAATAGAGGTGGTTTAGAAATGCACCACCTGAAATTTTACTGCCTAGATTCTGTATGAAATAATTAATAAGATATCTTATCAGAGGTTGTATCCTGAGAAGAAAAACTAATATAAGAGAAAAAAATGGGATAAGAAAGCATTAACAAGCAGAGAAACCAAGTAAGCCTATTGCTAAACTGATACCAACATTAGAGATGAAGCAAAGTGCCTTATTGGAGGGGAAGATACAGACCCTGTTAAACACGGTGAACAAGAGGATGCCCATGCTGGGACTGGAGGCTGCTGGGACAGCCTCCCTGGCCTCACGTTTTGTCCCTTTGCTGGCAGGCCGCAGCAGACAGGATTCAGATAGGCAAGTGGGAAATCTCAGATATCCTCAACACACCACTAGATATTACCAAACATTTGAGAAAAGCTAAAATCAACAGAGGCACCAAACTCAGGTGAAGAACATAGTACCTGAAACAGAATTAAAGGAGCAAGCTCAATGATTTTAGAGAGGATCTTCAAGGACAGAACTATTTGCACTGATAAAACTAAGGCAGGATTTGCTTTTTACCCTCTCCCATCACACGTGGAGTTTTCCAGGGCTCATGACAGTGACAGCACAACAGTGAGTGCAGAAGCCAATGTGAGATCCATCTGTCTTCTATTAAGGCAGGCATTAAGAGATTCTGAAAAATATTAACTCTGCCATTCTTCTCACTAACTTGTTTGTTGTTTTTTGTAAAAATGTGATGTTCACATATTACTGGTTACTATATTACTGTTTTCAGATGAATTAATAAATAACTAAATCTTCTCACTTTACATTTCTAACATGGTAAATATTGATAGATGTAACCCATATAAACATTCTTTGGGGTCCCCAATAATCTTTGCATGTGTAAAAGGGCCCTGAGACCAAAAAGTTTAAGATCTTCTAATCTAGAAGAATAGAATTGGAATATAGGATTTGTAGTCTATTAGGGGGAAAAAATTAGCATAATCTTCCAAAATGGGGAAAAATAACAAAGAAAAGCATTTTTTTAAAAGGAAAAATAAGATTGTAAGAAAAGAGATCAAACAATATAAATGGTTTTAACTTATCAGAAGATAATATCAGAGGAGGTTAAAATTTTTTTAATCAAATCTAATCTACACAGATATTTAGAATAGCATAGGAAGAACAAAAATAAGGACTGGAAAAAGATATGCCAGGCAAGTAAAAGGCAGAAAATAGAAATATCAATCCTATTGGTATAAAAAATAGAATTCAAGATGTGAAGATCACTAAAAGGGACAAAGAATGTTTTATATTAGTAACCTGACCAAATACACTGAAGATTTAACAGCCATTGATTTAAAATGTATGATATAAACAGAACAGAACTAGATGATGAAATTGATAAAGCCCTAATCACTATGGAAGATGGATAGATCAATTAGACTAAGAAAAAAGCATTAACTGGCTGTGGGCTGCTTGTGCGCTGCACTTGGCCCACTGAAATTTTGTCTAGCACACACTATTTTTTTGGGTGGTGAAATACCAGTTACCATTGCTACGTAACAAATTACCCCGACACTTAGGGTATGAACAGTCTCAAAGGCAGAGGTGACTTGACAGCTGGGGACTGGAATCATCTGAGTGCCTGTTTACTCACACATCAGGTGTCTGGGCTTGGGGTGACTTGAAGACCAGGAGTACTAGGCCCTGAGGGCTCACGTGTGGCCTCTCCCTGTGACCTGGCTTCACATATGGCAGCCTCAGTATAGCTGGCTCAGGGCTCCAAGTACAGTGTTCCAGGGAACAAGGCACAAACCTCATCACTGTTTATGACCTAGCTTCAGAAGTCACATAGCATCATTTCTTCCATATTCTATTGGTTTAAACAGTTATAAACCTTCCCAGATTTAAGAGGAGGGCACAGCCCCTCCTTCTTGATGGAAGGAGTACGAAATAACGTGGACATGTTTCAAAACCTCTTCAGTCCAACCTCTGGCTGTACGTTGATTTACATTCCTCCCAAATGCAAAAATACATTCCGCCTTTCCAAAGATCCCCCTAGTCTCAGATCCAGGGTTTAAGTCAGTCCAGTTGCAGCTGTGGCTCCTCAGGCATGTCTCCTCAGTTATAGCACTTTGAGTGCTTTAGGAATCTTCTGCTGGGAGAGACCAGGAAGGAGAACCAGTAGTTATACTTTTGAACACCGTGAGTCCTGACTCTTACATTCTGTCTGAATTTTGCTTGAAAACTGGCCAGTTCCCTTTTTAGTTCCCCTCTCTCTCTCCTGTCTTATTATTGTGGTGAAATAAATCATCGATACTTTCAGGATTCTGCCTGGAGATCTGCTTAGCAAAATCCACCGGTGGCAGTAGGTATTTTTTCCATTTTCTTTGTCACCACAGCCAACAGTGGTAACTAAAATTCTGCCACTCCCTCTTCACCAACAATCTCCTCTAGACCTTTCTAGCTCTGTTCACCACCTGGTCTCAAAGCTAGTGCTACGTATTTTAGGTTTTTGTTGCAGTAATGCCCAACTCCTGGTACTACATTTTGTGTTAGTTACTATTGCTTTGATAACAAATCACAAAACTTAGATGGTAAAGCGGCAACCTAGGATGACTCAAAGACTAGGATCATAGTGCCTGTGCAACTCAGAGCCCCTCCTCTGTGTGGTGTGATTTCCTCACAGGGGAGTCAGACACCCAGGGTGGCTCAGGGCCCAGAGCACGAGGATTCCAGCCAACAAGAAGGGGCGGCCTGCATTTCCGTTTTTACCTAGGCTGTATTGTATTGGTCCACACCGTCATAGGCCTGCCAAGATGCAAAGGAAGGAGACAGGAAGAATGTCGCAGAATTTCTCATCTGACAAGATGTTCATAAAGAAGACAAAGAAATTTAGTAAATCTAGTTATTACTCCTTCAATTGCCACCTCAGTTACAAAAATGTTGGGGTTTTTTAAACCTTTAAAAATTAATTTAAAAAAGCAAATGTCATTAGTTTTTTAAATAAGGATCTATGAATGTGCCTACAGGATGAATTTTTTTACGAACTAATTTTATGTGAATAAGGACTTAATATAGCTTGAGATAAAATTTCCATTGATAGCATTACGCACAGAATTTCTAAATGCTGTCTGTATCTCAGCTTAGGTGCACATTAAGTTCAGTAGAAGTACTGACTTCTAATAAATGGTGTTGGATGACTCAAGAAGTGGCTCTGCTGATGGTGGACATATTGAAATACTGTAAAAAAATTCGAACAAAATTGTTTCATTAAAGAAAATTAGGGAGAAGCAATGTTTTTTAAATGTGTGAATTTAAGTATGTCCATATTTATATAAATGTTTGTATCCCTGAACGTTTATTCAAGTTAAAACTTTTTTAGATCTTAATTGGGAAAACAATGGATCATATATCGGAGGTTGCCTCATACTGAAGTATATAATCACTGAGAAAAATGTGGTAGGAACACATGGCATCAGTATATATGTGCTCCACATAGACTTTCCATCAAAGAGAGTTAGAATGCTATTTTTTAAATGAATTAGATTGAAATTCTTCCTTTATTTTATTTTTTAGCTATTGCCTTCTTATATTTTTAAAAACTTATAAAAAATACCATTAGGAAAATAGCTTACCTTTAATTCCGTGTAGAATTTAATTGTAAAGGCTTTCATATGTGGCTAAATTAATCTAGAAACCTTATTAAATCCTACGAAGTGGTTATTTCTTGAAAGCAAGATAATTCAGTGATGTGCCTATATATCTTTCTAAATGTGTTCTCATTCAGATTTTGTCATTAATTTGGTATGGTTTTCAATAGATTATCAGCCATTGATATCCTAATTTTTCCTATCAGGAAGCCGCTGTTAAATAATTTTTTGTAAGTTTCTGTAATCTTTAATAGTCTTTTAAACATTGGGAGGTAGATTTACAGTTTTTGTGACCTTGCTCAAATAATTTAGCTTTTCTGCACTAGCCACATTTTAAAATGAGGTTAAAAATGCCTCTTTCCCTTATAGCACTGTGCTTTTAACAACATAAAATGCTAAGCGAGTAAAAAAAATTAATATAAAGGTACGCTAATAAAAACAAATAATGATTACTTCAAAAAATATTGTTTAAACAAAACAAATGTACCAGTTTGTTAATCTGATATAACATATTCATTTTTAGTACAGACTTTAAGCTGAAGCATTCAACAAGCTTATTTTTAGATGCTTCTAACAAGCGTTTAGTAATAATTGTCACTTACTGAAAATTGTTATAGTAATAGGAAAATTTAAGAATTACACATGATAAAAATTTCATTTGATAATCATAGTATGCAAAATATTTTTCTTGGTTAAAAACTCCTTTTATATAATGTATTCATCTTGACTTATGTTTATTCAGGAATAAAAGTTTGACTTTTACAGTAAAAGTATTTGTTTTCATGCCAGTGTTAAGACCATAAATCTTTTGTACTGACTTCTAATAAATGGTGTTTGATGACTCAAGAAGTGGCTCTGCTGATGATGGACATATTGAAATATTGAAATATTTTCAGTTTAAGGTGACAGTTTCAGAATATTACAGGTTTGCTTTTGCCATTTTTCCAGCCATTGTTTCCATCAGTCATTGCCAAGGATGTTTTATCTTTTGAAGTATGCCATCCAACTAATAAAAACCATCTAAGTGTTGTGTTAGTGCCCTCCACCAGAAGTTCCTAACTATTAAGCTGCCTTAGGGGAACATAAAATGAACACATCAAAGGCATTTACCATAAATCACACCTGCTGTGTACAGCCAGTACCATGTACATTTTTTATTAAAATATTTTCATCGTTTTGTGTCTAGTGTTTATTCCCGAAGAACATGGTGAGCATAAAACTCAAAGCTGCCTCTGAATTTTTTCCTACACAGTTGTAGTCTGGATGTCGTTGACATTATTTCAGACATCCTTTTTCATGAGTTAACGTAGTTTCTATTTATAAGAGTTAAAGCATGTACCATCATATTGCTGTGCTGCTTGGTTTAGCCATTTTTCCTTTTTTTGTTCACTTCTGTAGCTTTTCTGCAATTAGATAAAAAAGGACCACAAAAACATCACTTTGATCAGCCGTCAGTAGCACCTAGGAAAAACTACTCTTTCACAAGAGAGGAGGTGAGACAGATTGATCGGGAAAATCAGAGGCTCTTGAAAGAACTGTCGAGACAGGCTGAAAAACCTGGAAGCACACGTACGATTCCAAGAAGATTGGTTGCTCATCCTCCCAAGTTATATCACAGTGCTCTTAACAGACAGAGGGAACAACAAAGGATTGAAAGAGAGAACATGGTAAGTAACTGAAATTTTTACTCAGCAAAGAAAATGCATTTGTACTGATTTGTATGTCCAACTTTCAAGAAACCCCAATACAGCCAAATTTTCAAATTTAACGATATAAAAGTCAGAATAGGTATGTATGGCATGAAATACATGATGAGCCATGAGCCTGGAAGGTACAATGTGTGTTTTTTTACCCAGCAAACTGTATTTTAAAGGATTATTAGATGAAAATACTGAAAGCTCCATTATTTACTTGACTACATCTGTTAAATCACTATAACAGAACAGGAAATTATGTCCAAGGGTTACTTATATCTCCTGTGAAGTATTCAGTCACTAGCAAAATCTATTTCACTTTACTGTATCCTTGAAAGCTAAAATAATTTGGCATTTATTTTAAAGAATAAGTACATTCTTAGGTCAAATTTGGTGGTCTCCTGCTTGAATGTATGGATTGATTGTTAAAAATCATATAATTACACTTTGATGTCCTAGGGAATATGCATGAGAACTGTTGAAAATCTTCACATTAAAAACTATTATTCATAACATCATTTTCTTTATAAAATTCAATTTATATTAATTGCTGATATTTACTGAGCTCTTATTTTAATGTTAGGTTGTTCTAAGCATCTTCTAAAAATTAGCTCATTGAATTCTGATAATAATTCTTTCAGGTAGGTACTATTTTTATCCACATTTTACAGATGGAATAATTGAGACCTAAAAGGGTTAAATAATTACCTAGGTCAAAGAGCTGGTAAGGAAGTGGCTGAGCCAAGATTTTAAACCCAGGTAGTGTCTTAAACTAAAATTAGACCCTTAATGAGCACATAAATTCAGGGCTAAAATAATTGACAAAGCTATTATTAAAATTATTAAACTTGTTCTCCAAATTCACCCTTATTATGTTTCATCCCCAGTTCAGTTCTATTTAACTATGTATGCAACCTGACCTTGCAAGAGGAACACCTTTTATCAATTTCTTAATTACCATCACTGACACCAAGGGTTGGGAGCTGAGGTAGTATAGTTATAAAACATGGTAAAGTCTCAGGCATTTCAGGAAGATTACCCTGCGTGTGGCCAAGAGCAGACAACAAAACAAGCTGAAACGAAGTTGGTCGGTGGTGAGCTACGTGACAGCTTTCTGTATGTCACTGTAGCAATTTCAAGATTCGTTCATGATTTATGGAAATTTGGAATTACTGTACATCACGAACATCTGGTTTTACGTTATTTTCACTCTCCCACGTGGCTCCGGAGCTTTTTTATTTAACGAGCAATTACATAGTGCACACTGTTTTACAAATTTTAGGTCATTTAAACCTCGTAACAGCCTTATAAAATAGTTACTATTGTCTTGAAGGAGAAATGAGACACTGAGTGGGACACAGAGACTTCCTCAAGGGTAAATAGCTATCAGATGCAGAATCATACCTAGATTACCTAGCTTTGGGGTTACTTTTAATTTTAACAGCTTTTTTGAGATACAATTCACATACCATACCCATTTAAAGTGTATCATTCAATAGATTCTGGTACTTCATTCATTCTGTAAGTTGCAGTAAAAATGTATGTAACATAAAATTTGCCATTTTAACTGTTTTTAAGTGACTGATTCAGTGGCATTAATTACATTCACAGTGTTGTGCAATCATCACTGCTACTTATTTCTAAAACTCTTTTGATCACTCCATACAGAATCTCTGTACCTATTAAATAATAACAGTCAACCCCCACTTCCCCTCAGCCCTTGGTAACCTCTAATCTATTTTCTGTCTCTATGAATTTGCCTCTTCTAGATATTTCATTTAAGTGGCATAATAGAATTTTTGTCATTTTATGTCTGTCTTGTTTCACTTAGCATAATGTTTTCAAGTTTCATCCATGTTGTAGCCTGTATCAGAACCTTGTTCCTTTTTGTGGCTAAGTAATATTCCTCTATAGGAATGTGCCCCATTTTTGTTTTCCATTCATCTGATGATAGGCGCTTGGGTTGTTTCCACATTTTGGCTGTTGTGCTGTAGTGAACACTGACATATGAGTATCTGTCAAGTCCCTGCTTTCAGTCCCTGTGGGGGTACCCGAGTGGGACTGCTGGATCACGTGGTAATTCTGTTTTTCTTTTTGAGGAACCTGGAGTTTACTTTTGAAAAGTTGACACCATTAATGTCTAATGGCAATGCTACATATGAGTAGGATGAAAGCTGTTAAAAGCTTCTGTTTACAGCCTTTGCTCTCCCCCGTATCAGTTGTACATCTCTGCTATTTTCATCAACAGTGGAAAATCACTATTTTATTCTTTTTACTTTGTATACTTAGTAATTTGTATGTATGAGCAATATTTTCCTCCACTTCATAGTAAGATCTTATTTGTTATACTGGAGAACAGTAGGACATAATGTGAACCACATGTATACTTTAAATTTTTCTAGTAGTAATATATCAATATTACATTGATATTACAAGCAATATAAAAAAATTAATGATGAGGTGTTTTACTTTTTAATGCTCTGTTAGCTACATGTGGCTCATGGCGTTGGACAGTGCAGCTCTGAATCAAAAACTTAATTCATACAGAAGTGGAAAAAATAGCTTAAGACTAAACTGAGAAACATAATTTATTATAAAATATCATTTATGATGTTATTATAAGGAAAACTAATCTTCCAGATTTATGTTTTAACTCCGCATCCTCTAAACCAAAATAAAATAATTCTGCACATTTTAAATTTTTTCTTGGCTATTCCTTTGCATTTATTCTTCATAATGACTGATTTTTTTTTTCTTTACAAAAAAAAGTTTCTAGAAATTTTTGTTGGAATTGTGTTCAACTTACATTTTAATTGCAGAGTGTTTGGTACTCTTAAGATATTAACCTTCCTATTTAGAAATGTGATATGTCTCTCCATTTATTCAGGCCTTATGTTCTACCTTAGGTTTTATAGTTTTCTTCAGAATTATATATTTTACACTATTGTGCGTGAAACTTTTTCATTACATTTTTATTTCATTACGTTTTCTAATTTATAAACTATTGATTTTTGTGTGTTTATTGTATAACAACCGCCTACCAAATCCTTAGAGCCATATTGGCCCTAACAGTTCTTCTGTGTGAGATGGTATACTTTTTAACCTGTTTGCAGACTGTTCATAGTCAAAACACACATGCACGTGTGTACACACACACAGCACCTTTGTGTCAGATGTGCTGCACAAGCAGAGTCTGTTATTTTATAATTTTATGCTTTATAATCCTTTATTTGCTCCATCTGCAGTGATAGAGACCAGTTCAGATGGCTGACAAGTGTGATAACTCACACAGTTCTGGTCCAGTACTCTTACATGAGCTCGTTAGCAATCCAGAGGCTGTTTGAGACTGATAAACTCAAGACAAAGAAGCAGTGCTGTGCAGAAAAGGGAGAAAAGGGGCGCAACGATGTGTCAAGATGAGTCCTGTGCTGTAGTGTTAAAAGCAGACTGTTAATCTGGTTTTCTTGTGAAGTTTGAGTTCTTCATTATTTGTTTCAATGGGCAAATACATTTCCCTCTCACTCACAAGGGAAATAAATCAAAGGAAAAATAAAGAGAAAGTAACTATCCAGTAGAGGGCGTACTTGCTACATAAATTCAATTATAGTAGACCTGTTATTTCAAAAGGGGACAAATGTGTTAATTCATGAGTTTCGAAATATTCTTGTTAGACCATGTCTCTTTATATTCATTTCAAGATTATATGAATTCTGTTTTTATGAAAGAGTGCAAGAATAACCTTAGCAGAAGGAGAAGGGGTCAGTAAGGACACTTAATTTGTAGTTTCACTTTCCCCTCTACGAGAAATGAGGTTATTTCTTTCTTTTAACTGTAGGTATGTCAGTTTCCTGAGCTGTAAAAGAAAGAGGGGTTGGGAGTGGGAGGAATACTCGAATAAAATAAACCATAATCTTCCCACTCAGGAATTCCTGTGTTAAAAATATTATTTTTAAAGTAATATTATTGCATGTATGAATTTATAAAATTCAAACCATTCTTAAAACATTTAATGAAAAATAAAATTCTTCCTCTTCTGTTCTTTGTCTGCTGGTCTAGAGAGGTAATTTTAGATAGAATGTGAAAAATGTTACAGGGAATGTGGTATGTTGTCACAAAGTTGAAGATTTATAGCAAAATCTGATACATAGTGTGAGTATTAATCCGTGGAATAATCAGTACCTTTTTTCCAAGATCTTGAATTAGTTTATAGTTCACTATAGTTTGTTTGATTTTCCTCCTCTGGTTATTGTCTGTTGTCTTCTTCTATAGAAGAAGGAAAGGTAATGATAACTAAATACAACTCCAGCTATAGAAAAATATGCAGAACAGCCCTGACTTTCCCTGATTGTTGGACACTTGTTAGTCTCTAATGTCCTTCATGATCCTTGCTTTTTCACTTTAGAAACAATAAAGCAACTCTCCTCTGCTGACAACTGCAGAAATCATTAACTCACTATTTGTCCATTAATTTGTTTTAACCTTTCTACCTCAGAAGGCAGGAATTCAAGCTGGGTTAAATTTTTTTCCAAAAAGAATGATATTTACTGGATAGAAAAGAGATATTTAGACAAGCTCTGTTGGGATTCATTATTAGAATCTGATTTGAGTAGCAGTTCTAAGATTTTGTAAACCATAAATTGGAATATAAGTAACCATTCTTACCATTTTTCAATCCATCATATAGATACCTGTTTAATGTCCACCATGAGCTATGTAAGAAACTGGAATAGAAATAAGGAAAAATATAACTTAGCAAGGAAGATAATACTGTTGTGTGTCAGACAACTAGAAAATAATCAGAGCAGTGTTAAGGATAGCATTAATATTCAGTAAGTCCTTAGTGTGTGCCAGGCACTGTTCTGAGCACCTTATATGCCTTATCTCACTTCTCAAAACTAACTCTTTGCATTTTGTCTCATTGTTAAATATCTCTACTAAGTCATTTGACCAAGAACACACAATCAGTGGCAGAGCCAGGGTTTAAATCCAGGTCTTTCTGACTAGATAACTTACATTTTTTTTTTTATCATTCGCTTACAAGTGTTACAACATTTTGAACTATCGTTTTTAGGTTTTACTCAGGAGTTCTAAATTGATGACTAGATTGAAATGTGTATACTTTTGATTTTAGGACTTACACTGTAATCAATCCTTCGTATTTTGATATCGTTTCTAAAAGTAAGAGATATTTCTGTCTGAAGTCATTCCTTTAGCTTTTGCTTAGCTTGTTACATTCATGTGACACACAGACACATTATCTGGTTCCATGTGATTTGGAGAGCTGAAACAAATCATGGCTCTCTGATTTCCCCAAGATTCTGCATATAAACTTGCTCAGTGACACATCAAGACCACAGAATAGGTTTACTTTCTGCCTTATTGTCAAATTATTTCAAAATTGATTTTGACCATACTACTTTATGTGTTCTGTATCTGATAAATAAGCATTGCCCTTTTCTTAAAGTTTATAAAAGGAGAATATACATACAGCCAAATGAATAAATTTAGGAAATTAGCAGTTTATCTAAAAACCGTTGAGACTTCTACCAGGAAAAAAGCAAAATTAGTAGGTAACTGAAAGTATCAAGTTTTCTGTTCTATCCAATTCTATCCATTTCACCCTGCAGCTCAATGGGTAGTTAGTAGGATGCTCAGATGAAAGAGCAAACATTGCTCTACCCAGTAGAATACTCTGATGATGTGATAAATAAGAAGCTTCTTACTCAGTTATAAACTGCAGGTAGAGAAGCTATGCTCTTAGTAGGTTTGGGCACCTCAATCATATAGTTTCTCCATCTACAAAGAGAAAGAGACAGTATGTTATGATGGAAATACTGCAGCTTTGCAGTCAGGTGGAACCAGGTAACTTTTATGTATATTCTACCACAACAGAAAGAAAAACACTAAGTTGAGGAAGAAAGGGAAAAGATTGTGCAGGGAAAACTTGTCCTGTGACTGAATTCATGAGGCTGATTTTTTCATGTGAATCTTAAGTGCAGAACAGCGTTCTCTTTTCAGATAAAGCTCAGCTTGCTACAGAAGTTTAAATCAATAAAGAAAATGCTGAAACACCACCATGGATCAATTCCCTGATCCATTTGGTTCACTTAAACATTCCTTTCTCACCGAAGCCTGTGAAAATCAAACAAAGGAAACTCTTTCACCTTCTAATTTGTGAAGAAAGGATTATGAATAAAATTAGGGACATTATACATTAGCCTCTGTTACTGAATCGTATTAGTGCAAATACCACATTATTGGATATAAAAGCTTTATATTCTATAGTAGTTGGTTTTCAAACTTCTTAAGAGCAAAAACTTTTTTTCCAAACTAATTTTATGCAGAATCTGCAGTATGTAAAACAGACAATACAGAAAGCACAGGTGGGCTGGTGGAAATTTAGGAGCGGGGTGGGACTTTGGCCTTTCCTCAGTGTGCTGGGGGCCCTTGAGGCACTGCTGGGAAGTAAACAGTTTCCGTAATCAAATGGAGATTACAGAGCCTGCTCTGTAATCATAAACAGAACTTAGAAGAACTCAAATGCTCACTGCCATTTCTAGGGTTGAACACTGGGCTCTTAGCATTGTTACTCCCATTATATCATTACAATGAGAAAATCAAGTTTAATGTATTTCAAGTTACAGCACTTTCCCTAAGATTGTAACTAGACATAAAAGAGATACGTGCCTACAATCGGTTGTTAAAATCCCAGTGGTTTTTGGTTAGCTAAGGGAGAGGTGAAAACCCTTAGATTTTCCTGGAAGAACATTATTTAAAATATTTTTTCACAGTGACTTGAAGTCTTTTCTAATTTATTCTGTGAATTTCAGGTTCTAGAAAGTATTTGCCTTTTAAGAAACTTTTGCTATTTATCTGACATTGGCTTTTAAATTGATTGTCTTTAAATGAAGGCTTTACTGAAAAGGCTGGAAGCTGTGAAACCAACGGTTGGTATGAAACGCTCAGAACAGCTGATGGACTATCACCGCCACATGGGTTATCTCAACTCATCCCCGGCCTCAGGGCGAGTGAGGTCCACTCTTGGCCAGTACAGCCCATTAAGTAAGCATATGCAAAATTATTTTGTGCTTGTGTGTATCTTTTGTCCTTTTAAAAAAAATGTAACTTAAGTTCTATAGCATTTTAAAATACTGATTTCTGAAATACAGTCTGTTGTTTTTCACTGGCATGCTTTTTTTATTTGTGTTAGGTCACGTAATTTCAGGTTTTGTCTACAGCGTATAGTGGCAGCATAGGAAGGAAACCAGGAGATAAAACAATTGAAAATATCCTCTTAGATAATGAAGGAGAGACTTTTAGTTTCAGTGTTCATTAAAAGAAGAAATGAACAGATATGGTTTAAAAGTTGCTGAAACATTCTCTTTAGCTAATTAAGAGTTTCTAGTAACATCTTCCAGCCCTTATATATGCTTTGTCTTCCTCATTGGGTAACTAAAACAAAAGGTAGCTATCTGTAGTCATCAGATGTAATCCTTCTCTATTGCTCATTATGCGATCCATTACACACCTAGGTGTGATGTATCCCAGAGAAGGCAGGTGTGGGTGACCACTTAGGGTTAGGGTGTGCAGCCCAGGGAAAGGCCAGAATTTTCCCCTACAGGAGTCGGTGCTGTTATTGTATGTATGCATTCCAAACTATAGAGAATAAAAGCCAGTACTAAAAGAAAGTTGGAACCACTTATAATGCCACAACTTCCCAGTGCTCATGTGAGTCTTAAATATTCAGATGACTAGTAATTCCATTCTTTCATCCTCCAAGCATCACTTCCTTGATATAGTTAGAAACTGAAATAGGGTCTTATACCAGTAATTCACACTTAGTATTATGCCTTGAATGTGATAAATTATTTGTTGATATTCAACAAATATTTGTTGATATTTGTTGATATTGTTGTATAGATGGTTATACAAAGAGATTTTTTTTCCTACTTGAATCCTTTGAGAAGCTTTTAAAAACATTGATTCTCACACAGAATCTATTGAATCAAAATGCCCTAGTGTAGAGTTTGGGCAAGTTTGTTATATTTTTAATTTCCACAGGGAATTCTGAAGTGCAGTCCTGTTTGATAATTGAATTAGACTATTAAAAACACATGTGCACTGGGGAAGACCATTTTATTCTGGGCTTAAAAGTAGGAGAGGAAGTTTATCAGATGCGGATTTAGATATTCAAATTACTTCTTGTTCTTTGTATATTTTCAGGAGGAGCTTCCAGGACATCCAGTGCTACCAGTGGTCTTAGTTGTAAGAGTGAGCCATCAGCTTTTGACACATCCAGTGGCCTGTCGCTAAGACCTAAGCCCCCTAATGTCCGTACAGCTTGGTTATAATAACTCTTTTTACTTTAAACATTGTTCATCCAATTCTTATGAAGTGCTCTTGTATATTACTATAATTCTTTGTAAACATCTATAATAATGTTTTAAGCAATTGAAGATGTACAGCAATGACTTGTAATGTAATTCAGTGCGAAATGGTTTTCAAAAAGACAATTTAATATAAAATCAGTGTTTCCTGTGAGATGTTTGAGAATGTATATGTATTTCACAGAGAAATGGTAGTCTGCATGTGTTTTCTCAACATAGAGATTGGTTCAGCTGTCAGACTGACAGGACAGTTGCGACCCAAGATGTTAGCCATGTAGTTCTTGCTTGATGTGACTTTGTTGTTGTTGTTCATTTCTTGTAAACTTTAAACTGAGTGTAGCTCCTGATTTTGTTTTCTGTTTGTTTCAGAACTTGGGTGGTGTGACTTACAACTTGACTGTAAGGTAGTTACACTGTCTTATCTGTGCAGTTGCTTTCATTGGTGGAGCTAATTTTGATTTGATGAGCAGACTGAGAGACGCATGGAATGGGGGCAATCCTTGTGATTCAGCAGTGGTACCTACTTCTGTAGAGGCACAATGAGTTAGATCTTCAAAATTTTATCAACCACTCCAAACAGTATTAGAAGGTTTAACTTAGAAACTCCTCCTTTGTGTTTTCATACATTCAGGTAAAGTCCTATTAATGATTCTGAAAAATGAAGTTTCTTTAGAGCTACAGTCTACTGCGTTGTGAATAGTTTATCCAAGGACCAGGTCATCATAAGCAAAAGCAAGTGTTTGTTGATTCAGCAAAACAGCACCACCAGTTCGAAGAGCCGAGAAGCAGATCCTGAGTTGTGTCAGAAGTGTTGTAAGTGATGCTGTTAACAGGTTGTGTTAGTGTTTATTGTTTAAGGAAGAAGAAAAATAAAAAATGCATTGTCTCACAGCTTTAAAAATTCCAACTAGTGTTTTTTGAGGGCTGAAAAAGAAAACAAAAGTATGAAGGATAAAGGAAAAAAATCACGTATTTGTTGAGACTACTTTAAATGCCATCTAATTTTCTTGCTTTGTTTTGGTTTGGGCTTTTGGGTTGAATCCTGGTAGTATCATTTTTGCCAGTTCCACTTTTAAAGTCCTAGTAATCTTAATGGAATTAGTAATGGTGAATAAGTTGTGATATAGTTGACTTTTAAAATTAGAATATCTCCCTGTCAATCTGTAGGCTCCCATTTTATGTAACAAGGTGTATGTCTTGGCCATGTTGGTGCTGCTGCCCTGGTTATCACGGTTTTTCATTACTGGCCTTTTCTGTTTACCCTTAGAATGTACTGGGAAGTTTCCATATTAAATGCCAGATCTTTCTTTTTTAATGTGAATTTTTGATCTGTAGCCACAGTAAGAAGGTTTGTTTTTTGTTTTGCCAGGTTAACTGAAGCTCTGTAGTGTGTATGCTGAACTTACTTTTCTTAACATATTTGGCAGTAAGCCCAGTCGCATTTTACTAAACTGTCGGTTCAGAATTTCTTGGTCTTGGTTTGTATTGATCGATTTTGTTTAGGATAGGTCACGTGAAGCATGGGAACAAGGGGTTAAAAAATTTGTGTGGCCACAGCCTGACTGGGATTTTTCTGCTTCTCTTTGAGCTATAATGTTTGTTTATTGTTATTTGATATTCTGTTCTGGTGAACAGGTTTCTACATTATTTAGTGCTCTGCTTTATATATAAAATTCAGCTATGCTAAACCAAGGTTTTGTTTTGTTTTTTAACTTATTGTACTTTTAATGTCTGTATAACAACCTATCTTTAAGGAGATAAAAGATAATGCCGAATTTAAAATACGGCTTTTGAGTATCTGCCCAATAGTGAGTAAGCCAATTTTTTAAAATTGATTTTTAAGTTGTCAGGGAAAAATATGTATGAAACCTTTTATGTATTAGCATTAGTCTCTGAGTACATTTTATATGGTCTGTGCTGCCATATGTCAAGATACAATTATAATTTCATAACTAAAGCTGTACTTTTATTTTTGATCTTTAAAAACATTTTTTTCTTTGTACTTTGATTTTAGCTACTAATTTAATGCCTTTAATTTTTACTGTTTTGACGGGAGTTTCATCTAAGTGTTATAACAGGAATTCAGCTGGAAGTGAAAGTCAGGAAGAGCAACAATATTCATCTTTTCAAAGTGGAATTTACAGTTCTGTTGTCATGATTAGTCTACGTGAAAAGTATAAACAGAGGGATAGGAGTTGAAAATGTGATCTTCTCGGATAGAAGTCAAGGTACTTTGAAGCTGTTACTGTTCAGGGCACATTTTTATGAAGGAATCATAGGTATGCTCTTCATTTTCGAGAACATAAAGAAGTGAAGGATCATCTAATACTACTTGATATTTGGTTCACTTATACCTAAAATACATATTAGACACGGTTCTTACTGAGAGTTATTTTCATATCTGTCAAATGTTAAACTAACGTCACATCTTTTTTAATAAGATCTATAAGAGATTTTGAACATTAATTTCCTAAGGGGGATGGCTATTATTTCATACTTCCCCTATTTCCTTTTTTTTTAATCTCCATAAAAAGCTGCTTTCTTAGCTATTACTCCAAATAAAGTGTTTCTTGTTTGCTTACAAATGTAGTGTAATGCAGTTGTTTTCAGCCCGCTAATCCAAATTTCCAAAATGGGTATCTTAGAGAACTTTAAAAAGAGGTCATTGGGACGCATATGATTGTGTGCTTCTCATTTTCAAAATCAAATACCACATACTATGAAAAGTATTATGACCAAAATAAAATTGGAGACACAAGTTTAAGTTAGTCTATTTTAATAATTAAATTAAAAAAATGTTTAATATCTTAAATGCCAAAGTCTTAACCTATAAATGATTGTAAACCATCCTAGAAAATGTGCTTAATGTTCATGGCTACTTTATGAATAAAGATAGTAAGAAATTGAAAATCAACATCCTTTTTTAATTTTCCAGGCCACCGTAATGTCTTTTAGGCATGAAGAACTAGCTTGGCACAGTGAAGAAAGAAAGAAAAGAATTAAAGATAACTGAGTTCGGATCCTATTTATCTCTCAAATGCATTGTCTTGTTCCTATTTTGAAAATTAGAATAATAACTTATGAGCCTTATAAGACTAAGAATTAATGAGAATGAAGTTGAAAAGAGGATATTAGTTATTTCTATCTTTGAAAGTATGGCTTTTATGTGGGAAAGCGTTTGCTTAAAATTACATTCTTGATCATCATCTCTAAACCACATCATCAAATTTGTTCTGTAAAATTGTTATGCTACAATGGATACCCTTTCATACAAGCTTGAAAGAGTGTTTTTTTAAAAAGTGTCTATTCATACCAACATTTCACATGTATTATATGTATTAGTGATAAATAGTTTTTAAAACTTACTGCTAAAGTGTTAGGAATTTTTTTTTTATGAGGGTTAAATACAACAGTGCCATTAGAATAAATGACTAAGTAGTACTGCTGGAGTCTATTTGAGCTCTCAGCTACAATGTTAAGGGATGCTTATAGCAAATAAGATTACATTATAGCAGAAAATTTTATTTGATTTTAAAATTCTGGTGACTATTTTTTAATCCACTGAAAGATATTGCTGGAACCCCTATTAAACAATCTTAATGTTCCATGCCTCTATTTCAGAATCCACTTTGTAAGTTGCACTATTTGTTCTAGAGGTTTTTTTTAAGGTTTTTACTGCTTTATAAAGTAAAATTTATGAGGTAACATCAGTATTTTACTATAATGAGACATGGGGTTTTTTCCTATAAATCTAATTTTGTATCCAGTATTATAAGATAGTAAAAGAATTTGGGTAGTCACCAAAAAAATGACTTAAAACTATGGTTTGAAATTCTGAGAGTATGTATATTACAGTGATAGTCTTCACCAAAAATCACACATCACATTTCTTTTATATTTGGGGATTATAGCTGATCTCCAAGTTTGGAATGTGCTTTGTTTTCTTTATTTCATTCTGAGAATCTTTACATTTCATGAAGAAAATATCCAAATTAAGCAAATATATCTGCTAGTTGTGAATACAACTAGAAAAACCTAATTCTACCATCGAGAAGATTTCATTTTAAATTACATTTTGGGGAATGTGAGAGGGTTGTGGTCTTTTAGGTGAATGAACAGCTGCAAGAAAATGACATTCCATAGATTTTGCTGTTAACTGTTCAAAAGTATTACAGAAATACAGAAAGGGGGTACAAAACAAATGCACAACTCTTATATTGTCACAAAGCAAACACCTGGATCACCACTAACCAGATTAAGAGTTAGAACATTGCCAAGAACCATACGATGCACCTCCTCTGCCTTTTTTTTTTTTTTAGACTAGTAAGATTTTTAATTTGTCACCATTCAAAGTCTAAACAGTTCTTGGACCAGTGGTCCAGATCCACCAGCTTGTTGGACTGCAGTACCTCTCTCATCCCCAAGCTTGTTCAGGACTGCTACCTTCACCTTGAAGCCCCGTGAGTGTCCCAGTCCAAACCTGGCCTTCATCAGCATCCTTACTTTTCTGACAAGTCAACGGTGGAGCAGATAAATAGGCTGGCAAGCCTCTTCTTTGTCTTGTCCAGGGTTGTCTGGAATTAGTTTATCAACCACTTCATTCGTTTGCACCTCTCGGTTGTGATTTCCACCATCTCCTGGATTCAGTGGACCTGTAGGTGCCAGGCATTGGAGGTGGTGCCAGCACTCATGAGGACCCACGGGGCTCCCTCCCCGGCCCCTCGCTCTTCGCCCTCCAGAAGGTAACTACCAGCACTGTTGTGTTGAACGTCATATGATTGGGATTATATTCTTTTGTGTCTCATTGCTTTTGCTGAACATACTTAACGTTTGAGAGATTCTTCCACGTCGTCATGGCGTGTGGCTGTAATTCATTTGTTCTCGTTTCGGTTTAGTGGTCTGGTGTATGACTATACCATGATTCACTTATGCAGTCTGTGGTTGATGGACATTTAAAGTGACTTCCAGGTTTGGACTGTTAACAAATAATGCTAATAGGATGATTTTTGTAGATGTGTCTTGATTAAATATAAAAGTTATTTTTGTGTTTTTGATTTATATGAAAAATTATAGGAAAAACTTGAAGCCCTAGATCAGGGTTCAGCAAGTTACAGCCCACCAGCCAAATTCAGCAGCTTTTACCTTTTTTATTACCTGTGTGTGCATTTTGGTTGGGCATATGCTTAGGAGTGGAGTTTCTGGGCAGAGTCAACATATTTAGTAGACAATGCCAGCATTTTCCAGAGTGAGGGTACCAATTTACTCTCATCAAACTGCATTAGTTCCAGTTGCTCCATATGCTCACTAATATTTAGTGTCAGTCATTTTTAAAGTTTAAAATTTGGGTGGGTATGTAATGGTATCTCGTGATTTTTAATTGCATTACCCTGGCTGATAAGATTGAACATTGGCCATTGGAGTATTTTGTGTAAAGTATCTTTTCAAACTTTCTGCCTATTTTTCTATTGGTTGGATGTCTTTTTCTTGTCGATTTGTAGGAGCAATTACATGTTCTGGATATGATCAATCCCAGTATGAGTTGTGTTATAAAGAAATTTCCTCCCAGTCTGGTTATTTTTTTAACTTCTTGAAATGGACGTATAGTTCACTGATTTTCAGCCCTTCTTTTCTAATATATCCATCAAAGGCTATAAATTTCTTCTGAGGATAGCATTAGCTGTTTCCCAGAAGTTTTGATAACAGGGTATTTTTATTTTAAGTCCAAAATATTTTTGAGTTTCCATTTTGATTTCCATTTTGTACCCCATGGCTCTTCAGAACACATTTTAATAGGATTTTTAAAATTTTTTATTTATTTAGAGGGAATTATATATTTACTTATTTTTAACAGGATATTTTAAAATTATACTTGTGTTTTTGGTTTATATGAAAAATGGTAGGAAAAACTTGAAGCCCTAGGTCAGGGTTCAGCAAGTTACAGCCCATTAGCCAAATTCAGCATTTACCTTTAAAATTTTTTTTTGAAATAAAAAGAGTATTTTGTGACAGAAATTCACATTTCAGTGTCCCTACGTAAGTTTTAGGAAACAGCCACTCTGGTTCATTTACTTGTCTGGGGCTGCTTTTGCAATAGGGCAGAGCTGTGCTGTGTCAAAGAACATCTGGCCAGCACAGCCTAAAATATTTACCATTTCGTCCTTCAGAGAAAGAGTTTGTTGACCCCTGCTCTGGGTGATATTTTCTCCCAGATAAGATTTACTTTTGCGACTGGCAGGCACAGAGGTGCTCGCAATCACAGATTGCTGTGATCCAGTTAAAGGGATCCAGATGGCCTGAAGGCCAGCATCAGCGGCCACAGCGGCCACATGGTTTCCGTTTCACTCTTCCTGCTGCGCTGTCACCCTGTGGGCCCCCAATCCGAAACAGGATTCCCAGGGATACCCTCCCTGGGCTGCCCCGGGGTTCCAGCTTTTGTCCTTCTCTCCCCGAGAGGGCTTTCGGACTCTCTTTCCAGTTCCTCAATTTTCCAGCCGCATTTCCACAATTTTCAGACACCTCAGGGGGAATTGGACCCCAAACACCAGACTCTCTTCTCTGGATGTCTTCTCCCAAATCTTGGCCGATTTCTCATGCCCTGTCAGCTCCCCAGTGTCTTCCTGCAAATTTTTATTTTAAATATTTTATTTTAGCCAAAGGGCTGCAGTGGAAACTTGACTGTGTCACTTCCTTGCTTTAAAAGCTCAGACTCTCTATAGACTGTTTAGAAAGTTGAAGTTCTTCAGAAGAGCCCACTGAGCGCTTCGTTATTTAGCCTCACCTCTCATCACTCCCCCGGGCTCCCTGAGAACGACTTTCAGCGGGGAACACACGTCAGGCGAGGTTTTTACTGCTCTGCGCATGCCCACGAATGAACACAGAGGGGTTAGAAGTAAGTTTTAGGGAGCAGGCTAATTTGCAAATACAAAATCTGCAAATGAGGGCCAACCGTACTTTTTCATGCATTGATAAAAACTGATATTCAAGAGAAGCAGAAAAGTTAAAGGAATTTATGGTGTGGCAGTCTTTGAAAAACTGTATTTAAGGACTTGAGATCTAAATTTAAGACAGCCATAAGTTTTCATCCGTAACGTTACACACCACCCCAACGTGCTTGTCCACTTACTACCCTCCACATGTTCAGGATTCCACCTGACTAGGGGACTCGCCTTTCTCCAAACAGTCTCCAGGTTCTTTTGGTTTTTCAGATGTGCCTTTTCATCATTCATTCTTGCATTCAACAAATCTGTATTAAACCCTGTCCATGTCCCAGGCACAAGGTGGTGAAACAGATGGTCACTGCCCTCACCAAACTTACAGCTTACAGCGTAGGCTCCCTCACAGCCTGGCACGTTGGAGGTGGTTGTAAATTTTGCCTCGGCACAATTTATGCTACATATTCTACACAAAGTAAAAAGGAGTGGAAACTTATCCAGTTCATTGAGGTTTAAAATACAAACTGAGGCAAGCCTTCTTTTACCTTCTCCTCTCTCATCCTAAAATAAGGTGGCTAAAAAGACAAGATGCCTGTAGGCGAGGCTTTTAGGGAGAACACAGAAAATGAAAAAGGCTTACTTACTAGGGATGGTGGTGAGAAGTGGGCTGCATTTAGGGAGAGAGCTTTGCAGGACAGACAGTGAGAAATCCCTGGGGGCTGGACACACCATTCTCAGTTGTTACTTTAACTTGTACCTTTCTCATTTTCCCAGACCTTTAAGCGGGACAGCTTTGCACAGCGAGAGGGTTGTAAAGATAGGACAGTAAAGCGAGGTACTGCCTGTCAGAGGCTTGGAGGTCTAGGATCCCCCACTGCATTAAGGAGCCAAAGTGAGGACCAACTCAGCAACTCAGCAAGCTCTTGAGACAAAGTCCATTCCCAATGCCGCAGAGGTAACATTAGCAGGAATGGGGGA